ATAGTAGACAGCAAAATGAATGAATTTATAAAATTCATTTATAAAAATGTTAATAAACACATAAAATTAAATTTTGTTGATTAGGGATACAGACATAGGTGATAAAGCTATCAAAAAAAAAAAAAAAGGAATGGGCTACCTCTGGATGTGGAATAAAGGAGTTGCTATTTGAGAGAGGCACTGGTGGCTTTCAAAAGCAGTGATGATTAATTTCTATTGGGGGAAAAATGTACCCATGTTTATGTTTAAGTACTATGTATACCTTACATATAAGCTACATATGGTGGAGAATCCACATATAATAACTCTATGATAGTGTTCCCTCAACAGATTGATTAGTACATTTATTTCCATAATAAACTGAAATTTTCCTTAGTTCATATAAAATGGTGTCACTGACCTTCTTATGTGAGTGACAATGGAAGTAGGGCACTTCATACATTTTAAGAAATTACCTATAAAAACAATCTTTGGTCCACAAATACTAAACTGAAGGTATGTTAGGATATTAGTCCATTTTGATTCTTGCATATCAAGCACATCATAATAATTTAGTTTTCTTTGAGACATCTTGAAAATGAAAGTGACAGAATATTGAATTAAAAAGAGCAAAGAACATGAGACAGTCCATTAGCAGATTCAGTATGCATAAAAAATGGAAATGCTTCCAGTAAAATAGCTGGGTTTTACATCCTAATAAACTTATGACCAGGGTCCTTCATTGCCTTCAAAAACTGCAAAACTCTGTCTCCCTGGGCAGTGGAGGGTCCAGCTCTGAGGATCACTGGGAGGTGACAGAAATAGCTGCACAAATAATGGAGTTTGTACTTGCTCCCAAACTGCTAAAAACACTGGATATGGATTAAATTTTCATGATAAATTTTCCTCCCCTTTTTTCCTGTGTCTTTTTGGTCTTTATTGTTCTTCTTTCAAAAGCATAAAGAAAAGATCACATATACATACTCCCATACTCCCACATGTGAGGAAACTGTGCAAAAGTACTGGCACATTCAGAGATGAGCACAGGTCTTGTCAGGCACTGGAAGTTGAACCAGACTGCTTGACAAATCTGATAGAAACGCGTCCTTGCCCGCAATGCAATTTCTGTGGAATTTGTGACTGCTTTCTGGAAAAGTCCAGTGTCTTTTGAGAGGAGAGGAGATCTCTCTAATAAGAAAGACTCAGTTGGGATAGGCTGAGGACCAAAAGGCTGGGGCCAGGATTCTGAGAGCCCCAAGCATTCCACACTGTCTTAAAATTCCTTCCAGCTTCAATTTTGAAATCAGAAGGCGGAGGAGAAAAGGGTACTTTGGAAGGCAGAAGGGTAGTTTATGATGTTTCTCTTTTGATGGATTACCTGTTCTCTGCTACAGCAACTGAGAGAGACGGCAAGGTTACAAGGAACATAAAGCGAAGGAGAGCACTGGCATTTCCTGAATTCTACACAGGTCCTGCAGCTTTGATACATGACTGCCCTGCCTGCACAAGGCCATCAGTTCTCTGTGCAGCACCACGGGGAGTGGAATATGCAATTTGTATGATTATAGTTATCATTATTACATCAAGCTGAACAACATTTTCAGCTCTGTGAACTAGAGGGAGGAGAAACACCAGAGGGGTTGGATTCAGGCTGACAAAGGAGTGGAGAGGGAGAGGTTTGGAAATTCCTTTTATTCTCTTTTCTGCTGGTTTCCAATTCTTGACAATGGAGTGCATATCTGGGCCGTAATCTAATAGATTCTGATTCAGTGTCAAGCGGGCCAAGGAATCTACTTTTTATAAGCACCCCCAGGTGATGCTGAGGACATTTTTTAAATGGTACAAGACTGGATATATCATGAGATTAAATCCCCCGAAAACATCTATCTGTTTACTCTGAGAAGCCTGAGGTATATTGGTTAAACCTTCGGCTTTTGTGAGATGATTGGTTATAAGCTCCTTGAGTGACAGGACTTTGCTTGGTTCCCCTGCCCCTAGAAGAGTGTTTAACATAAGGTAGGCATCAATCAATAAACATAAGATTTAATGAATGAGGATATGCATACTCTGAGTCAACATTATGGTTACACTTTAGATGCTCTTGGACATTAGCTTCTCCATGTGGCACCTATTTGGGAAGCTGGAGGAACAATGTATTCCTGTAATGTCATGATAAATGTTTAAAGGAGGCTCAAGCCTTAACCTAAATTTCTCGCTCATTTGCTCGATGGTCTTAGATTGTGGTTTAAGAAAACGTATAGATTTGTTTAACGGTGCATTTCCTAGTAGTAAAATAAAGCCCCTGCTTCTCTCTTTAGAGCACAGATCCTATTGACGGTGGCTTTATGACATATCTTCCCCAGTAACTGGGGCTAAATTTTAGTGTAGGACATGAGTTTTAGATCAAAACAATCTGTCCTCTGTGCATTGCTGAGTTTTCCTGTTCTATAAGAAGAATGAATATTATTAGTAAAATGGAGATTGCAATTAAATTTTGGAAAATAACAATCTCTGAATTGATAAAAGACAAAGAACACTATAAATATTTAAACTTTTGGACTTGGGCTGAGTCAGTTTAAGCTGACTACCCTCAGTATGGGAATAGTCTTTCCTAAGCCACTGACTTGCATGTCAGCATGTCATGTCTTTTTTTGTTTTTCCCAGTAACATTTTAAGCAGTCCTATTGAGGACTCCAGAGGGAGTATTAAGATATATATATAATGGGGAATGTCAACAACAACAACAAAAATATGTCATTTGAAAACATCTGCCATATGATTTTGAAAATTCAAATGAAACAAACCTCTAAAAACATTATAACCTTAGGTAACTTGAAAATACATAATTTGAACTTGTTTTGCTGGATAAATGAATGGAGATGAATTAATTTCAAAATTGAATTTTCTTATTTAGGTAGATGAATTCAAAGGACAAAATTTAACTAGAATATTGACATTATGGAAATGCTGATGATATGTGCTACAAGCTTAGAAGAACATCCAAACAGTCATAGCACAGTCAATTATGTAAAAGTTGAAAGCTGCAGCCACAGTGCCAGAAGAGATTTAACATAAATTTTATTTAAAATTTTTTTTGTACGTTTTTTTATATATATATATATATATATATATATATATATATATATATAAAATATCAAATTGTAATTGATTCATGGATAATAATTCAAAGAAAGGATGTAGGGCCTTGAGCTTCTTACAGAGGGACATTTTAATTGCTAATAACATAGAGGCATTAGGGAAGGTAAATATAGTTTTGCTCCACTTATAACTGTATTTGAATGAAATGCTAGAGGAAGTTCACTGACATTTTTAATTGTTTGGTTTTTGCCTTTTGATGTTTTGTTGATTTGTTTGTTTTCTTTGTCTACTTCCTAGAAAACTGCTAAAGCTGGTATTTGTTCTAGTATGGGGAGACCAGGCTTCTCCCAGTTGGGACCATCTGAAATGTGTGTTCTTTGTGAATAATCAAGCCTAACATTGTGCTGAATAGTCAGTGAGTCTTTGATGGTGCCTTGCTCAGTTTCTTAGCAAAAACTGAAAATGTTTCAATCCATGGAATGAAGTGTTAATTTAAATTGTTTCCCAGGAAATGAAAATACCTTCTTCCTATATAGTTTGTAACAGTGGTTGTCCTTTGATAGATGGAATTGTAGCTACATTGTTTTCCTTCCTTTACATTTTTCCACACATATGTACACATGCACATACATATTTCTCTGTAATTAATATATATTTCCCTTTTAAAAAGAAATAGCTTTTAAATTTTTATTGGAGTAGAGTTGATTTACAATGTTGTGTTAGTTTCAGGTGTACAGCAAAGTGAATTATATATATATATATTCTTTATTAGATTCTTTTTCCATATAGATTATTACAGAATGTTGAATATAGTTCCCTGTGCTATACGGTAGGTCCTTGCAGTTTATCTATTTTATATATAGTAGTGCATATATATTAATCCCAATCTCCTAATTTATCACCTCCCCCACCACGTTTCCCCTTTGGTAACTATAAGTTTTTTTTTCGAGATCTATGAGTCTGTTTCTGTTTTGTAAATAAGTTCATTTGTATCATTTTTTTAGAGTCCACATATAAGTGATATCATATGATATTTGTCTTTGACTTACTTCACTTAGTATGATAATCTCTAGGTCCATCCATGTTGCTGCAAATGGCATTATTTCATTCTTTTTTATGACTGAATAATATTCCATTGCATATATGTGCCACATCTTCTTTATCCATTCCTCTGTTGATGAATATTTAGATTGTTTCCAAGGAAATAACTTTTTTTTAAAAGCAAAAGAATGAGAAATAATCTCATTATACAGAATTATATGATAAAATGGCTTTCATTAAAACAGTATTCTATCTAGATACATTGTGAATATTCTTGGCAACTTTTATTGAAATAAAAGTTTATTCATGTATTTAAGAAATACTTATTTAGCTTCTACCAAGTGCCAGGTACTGGTTCGAAGTGCTGGGATATAAGCAATGAACAAAGGGAAGTTCCTGATGTCATGGAGCTCATGTTGTCATGGATGATAGACAATAAATTATGTAATATGTTCAGGGATGACAAATGCTATGAAAATAATCTAAGAAAATAGGGTGAGGAGATGGAGAGTGATATAGAAGGTGCTATTTTGTATAGGTTGGGCAGGGAGTAATGAAAGTATCTGAATAGATACAGGGACATTTCAGCAGAAACCTACTTAAAGTGGGAGAGCTAAGGAAATATCTCTGAGAAGAACTTCATAGGCAGAGGACGTGTAAGTCCAGAGGCACTGAGTGGAAGCATACTTGGCATTTTTAACATCAAGGAGGCCAAGGTGGATGGGGTGGACTTTGAGAAGGAAAGTAGCACAGAATACAAAGTCAAACAGGGTGGTAGAAGGTGACATTATATGGAGGTCTGATGGCCATCGTGTTCTGAGTGAGATGAAAAGTTGTTGGGGGTTTTGAGCAGAGATGATGTTCTGTTTCATAATTAACAGGATCATGCTGGCTACTGTGTGGACAGTAGGTGATAGCAGGAAAGAAGTGGAAGCCAAGAAGCCAATATGGAGCCAATGAGCAGTTCAGGTGAGGGATGATCTCGCTTTCTGGGTTTCTGGCTGAGTAGTTCTTGGGTACATAGAAGTCCTCAGCTTTTCTGAATGTTTTATGTCTCATGAGATTTCTTCTGTGGCCTGAATGGAAGTCTCATTTGGTTACTATCCAAAGCAACTGTGAACAAAGCTGCCTACCCTGGCTTGAAATTATCTCCAACTTATTGCCTATGATGGGAAAAAACATTATAAAATTTGACAAAAAATAATTTTTCAATTTTATTTCCATCATTTTGCATATAATTCAGCCTTATCAAAGAATCATTTAGAGAGAAAGAATATTAGCATTTAAATGATTTACGTTAAAGTCTATTATACCTATTTAGGTCTAAGATTGATTTTTATTCTTATGATGTGGGAGAGAAGAGAACAAAAGGTCTTAGGTTATGAATTTGGAATTGTTGAATCTTTTCTCTGCAGGAGGTGGTGTTACTTATATGCAAGCGTCAGGTGAGTCCAGAAAACTAATGCAGAAAGAAGGACTTAGCCTCCAGAAAAATTTATATCTAATTTTGAATCTCTCATGGCAGCATTAAAAAAGAGAAATGAAAACAAAGAGTGGAAAAGGGGAAATTAGATAGCAGAATAGATTGTTTACTTTCCTTTGCCTCCTGGATTTTCATTCTTTTCTTTTATCTCTGCAGCCTTGAGGATTTATTGGCACCCATTTCATTTGTCTTTCTCCAGGTTTAAAATTGAGATGATGAGATGGAATATTACCTGTGAGCTTCAGAACATCCATGAGTGACATGTGATAGTTGCCTGGGAAACTAGAGATGAAATTTTATAGGCCTTTGAAATGCTTTACATTTGAGAATTAAGCTCAGCTGAAGTTTAAACAGCATACTGACAGTGAGCATTGATCTCTCACATTATCTGTTAGGATATTTGAGGTGCAGATAACAGAAAAACCCCAACTCCAAGGGGTTTAACCAACAAAGAAATGTATTATCTAATATAACTGGAAGTACAGAGGTAGAATGAGCTCCAAGTGTGTTGTAATGAGAAGCCTAATATAATCGAAGATCCAGCTCCTTTTCGTCTTTCTCCTCTGTTGTACTCAGCTACCTCCTAGGGCTGGTTGTCCTTATGGTTTCAAGATGGCTGCCAGTGACATCCTGAGCAACATTAATTCTTATGAACTGCCAGCAGGAGAGGAGAGGGGAGCTTTCTCCCTTAAACCTAGAAAATAGTCCTTTTCTTCAATCTGATTGGGAAAACTTAATTCACATGTCTACCTCTAGACTAAGGAAGGCCATGATCTAACTGGCACAAACAAATCAAAATCCTCCTTGAGGACTAGATGTATTGTGAATCTCTGGATTAAAAGGGCTTCTACTAGGAAGAAAAAAGGGGGGAATTGGGAATTAGGCATTGTATATATCATACAATGGAGAGGCAAGAGTTAACAACACATTCTACACTGGAAAAAACTTTCAAGGAATGGAATCTGCCCCAAATTTTGTTATTCTGTCCCTTGTCAACACCGTGGACATGTATCTCCCTCACTAAGGATGAAAAGAGAAGGGGAGGGAGTTCTGGTGAGTCCAAAGTTTCTCCTTTCTACAGTATTTTGAAGCACTTCATTAAAGAACTTAGCAATAGTTATTTTAAAACATAAGTGGTTCTAAGGCCTTTGTTCAGCGTCCAAAACTTAAAATCAATGAATACTTGTGATGTTATAAGAGTGGTTTGTTGCTTATAATTTCCTGTATTCTGAATTCTTTAAGATACCGGTAATAATTTATTTCAGCATCTTTATTAGCTGTATCTATAGATATAAATATTAGTAAGCAATTAAATAAGGCTTTTGAGACATTTTCCCTTTTATTTTGGAATCATGAAATTTTCTTTGTTAAAAATAATTTTAGCATATTAGAACCCAACCATGCAACAGCAGATATATGACAAACTTGCTTTTTTGCAATTTATTTATAAATAATTTATTTATGTATTAATTTTCTATTGCTGTGTAAAAATTACTGTAAACTTAGTGGCTTAAAGAAATGTAAATTTATTATCTTACAGTTCCTGTACGTCAAAAGTCTGGGCACGGTGTAGCTAAGGTTCTCTGCTCAGGGTTTCACACGGTTATAATCAAGCCTGCCACCAAGTGTTGGTCACACTGTCATCCTTGTCTGAGGCTCCATGTCCTCTTTCAAGCTCATTAAGCCTGTTGGCAGAATTCAGTTCCTTGTAGTTGTAGGAATGTCCCCATTTTTAAATAATGTTGCCAGGGATCCCTCTTGGCTCCTAGAGGTCACTCACAGTCCTTTATTAGTGTTTCCTTTTTTCCAGACCAACAGGAACATGTCCGACTTTGAGTCTCTGATTTCCTATGTCTCTAGACACAGATCTAAGGGTGCATGTGATTAGGTCAGGCCCACCTGATAATCTATCTTAAAGTCAGTTGACTGGGGATTGTAATTTGATGTGCAAAATCCCTTCAGAGTAGCACCTAGAATTGACGACCTGGGAGAAAGTATGTGCACACCAGGGAGATTCCAAACGTAAAGGCTGGGCTTCCATCTCTCAGTGGAAGATCCAAATATTGTTTGCTGGGGTCTCATGTGTTGGACACTAAATACTTCAGAAGAACTATTCTTCTCTCTCTCTCTCCTCTCCTTTCCCTCTAGCTAGATACAAATCAGTTGAATTTCTCCCCTACAGGAAGAAATATATAAAGAATTACCTCTGTAGGTTGCAAGGGCAGGATGAGAAGGAAGATGAAGATAATGAAAAACTAGTATTATGTCTGAAGAAAATAAGGAAAAATATAATTGAGGAGAAGATGTGAGAAGGAACAAAGAACAACCCAAAAAGCAGGCATCCGTGAGAGAGAGTTGGTGTCAGGGTTCTATGGGTTTGAGATAAAGTTAGAACAAAAGAAATCATTATATGAGTATGAAAAGATGGAAAAAACAAGGCAGAGACATTAGAGTGCAAAGTAATAATAATGATGGCATTTGCGGCCATGGATTTGCTTTGAACAAGGCACTCTGCTTCTTTTTCCTAAATAATTTCTTGTGGTGAAGGAAGGCTGATGGCAGCAAATATTTGTGTATATATCTTGATCTTGTTAACAGTATTTCTCAACACTCACTTTGTTATGGTCTGGCTGCTGCTTTGAGGAGCCAGACAAAACAGATAATATTACACTTAATAAACACATATGAAGGCCAAAAACATAGCTACAAATGAAAGAAGTTTAAAATAACCCAAGGTGGCCTTGTAGTCTCCTTGCAACAAACTGTTTGGACAAGAAAATGAGAATATATATAACCCAGTGTGTTGTTTTCTCCTTTTTCTTTTTCAAAATACTAACAAGGATGAATATAATTTGAAAACAACTTCATAAATCCATTTTCCCCAGAGCACCGTAAAGAAATATTCCATGTGAGTACCAACTGATTCCTAGTTACTAAATCAGAAGTGATCAAATAAAGTTAATGATAGAGGGTTGGCTAAGCTGAGACTTTCAGTAGCGTGTGTGTGTGTGTGTGTGTGTGTGTGTGTGTGTAAAATCCAGTACAGATGTATTGCAAATATCTATCCTTTAAGCATGCCGTATGCATCTCTTTTAAAATAAATCGTGAACTATTGCAGAATTAGTTTCATTTTAAGAAGAAGCAACATATATCACAAATGCAGGAGACTTTGTTTTGGCTTCTGACTTTTTGATGCTCCTGAATCTTCAGGTTCTTAGTTCCGTAAAAGAAGGGCCTAGGCAGAGGTTGAGAGTTCCTATGACACCATCAGTCAGTAGCAAACAAGTGAGTATGCCAGGCTGCTCCTAATGTCCTCTATGAAGATTCACTTTTCTCTTTGACTGGACATTGTTGCCATGGGGTTATGCAGTTGACTCATTTTCATTTTGTTGGGGGAATTGTGAGAGTGCTATAAAGAAGGGAGATGAATTGGAGGAAACAGCTCTCTCTTTCCTTCTCTGCCAACAAGCTTTAGAGCATAGCAGAGGGATGGTTCAGAATCCAACATACTTGTGACTCTGATGCCCATTCTAATTAGATGACTACTTGTTTGGGCTTTGTAAGACATCTCCCACAAGAATGAAGAGGAGTTTTTCTGAGAATAGAGGCAGAGATATATTTGCAGGGTTGTTAATAACAGCTGCCAAAGACAGCAATGATACCAAGATTATTAGCCTAAAAGGAAGACACAATTTAGGATAATTTTTTGGAATTAATTTACTAACCAAATCACCAACATTGACCTCAGGTATGTGCACCTACTTTTCCCCCTGGCTTCTAGATCTGACTCCTTGTGTATGAGTTACCGTTCATGGATTACCAGGCATCATTTTTCTCATCAAGTCCTCAGATTAAAGAAATGCCAGTGTTCCATTCCCCATATTTTTCAGGTTTAAGTGTTTGTTACTAAAGTACCAGAAAGCAATGACACTTTGTGGCTTTTGGGATACATATGGCTTTTCAAAATGCAGTTCATGAAAGCTTCCAATTTCTGAAGGAGTGATATTTTTCATCACAGGGGATCAGTAGTCCTATGATTCTTTGGTTCAGGAAAGCTTGCCATATCATTTTGCAAATTATGACTACAAAATACTGAAGGCAATCTTGTCAAGAGGATGTGTTCTTTCTGTTACTTGAACTTTATTTTGGTTGGGTCTCCGCTCTAATGAAGACTGGCCTGGGTGATTCTGGTTTGAAAAGGTCACAGGTATACCAAAGTCTATATAAGTATTTTCATCTTATTATGTCTCTACCACACAGCTGCTATTGAATTTTCCTGGGAGAATATACTAGGAGGGCCAAGATCCTTGTACCAGATTATTGATAGCAGCTCTTAATATATGTAGCTCTTGGGGAAAGAAAGTGATTTAATTCATAGTAGTATTCACTAATGCATAAGTAGAATCAAAATTAGCTGCTTATAATTTGTTAAGAAATCAGAATTTCACTTGGGAGTAAAAATTACTTCAAATATAAAATAATAATGCTATCATTATGCATCCTTTTTTGAAAATTTGTGAACATTAATGACTTGATGTTTCTGGAGAAAGTTCTTATGAGTGACATTTTTGTTTGTTGCTTTGTCTTCATTTGACAAACCAACTTGCTAAGTCCATATTAATGGGTTAAACTGATTTCTTTAATTACATTTGGAATGCAAGAGTAAATTAAGAATTTATTAAATTAATTGGGTTATTTTATTCAAATGCTTCCAGGGTGATTATCATGATACCTAAGTAATCAGACTCAATCTAAATAAATTAATTGAATAAAATATTAGCCTAGTTTGTGCCTTAATGGAATCATTTCATTAATACTGTCAGGAATGAGGAGAAAAGTTTCCAGGCATTTTAAAGAGCACAGCAGCATAAATGTGGTCAATACATTATAGCTGGCAGTGGAGTTTACCAAGTTAAGGAAACTATATTACTGATTAGAAAAGGCCTGATGATATTACTCCTCCATTTTACTGAGAAATTTAAGTCTCCCCACAAGCCTCCCCACAAGCCTCCCCAGACTCATCATCCAACTTTTTCATTTCTAAAACCACTCTATAGCTTCTCCCTCTTTTCCATTTTACAGTCTCTGAGAAAGAAAGAATCTTTTTTAACCAAGGCTGATCCTTCCGCTTGTGCTCTAATCCTACTCATTGTTCTGTCTTCTCTAGGGCTTTGATTTATCAAATATGTCCTGTAAAATTATTTATCTATCTACATATATTTCTTTAATTTTTCATTTACAACTACTTTCTTTCCCTCTGCCTGAAAATATACTTGGGATAAGCAACACACAACCCCCTGAGAAAAATAAACAAAAATACAAACACACTTCTCCGATTATTGCTGCCCCCAAACTTCTTACTGTTTTGTCACTTTCTTTCCATTTTCTTTCAGCAACCTTAGAAAATGAATTTACCGTTGGTGCCTTATCTTCCATATAGTTGACTTATTTTATATACTTAGGATTCTGTACCTAATGAAACTGGGGTCTCAAAGATCACTAAACAATTTTAACTAACACATTTATTTCATTCCTCTTCTATTCTGATTTCCAAGGTTGAAGTTTTTCTTGAAATATTTTCCTGGCCAGTGTTCATCATTTGCCTCCTAAATTTCTTTTTTTTTTTCCTCTCTCTTCTCATATTTTATTATTTAAGAAAGATTTAGGATTTTGTAAGAAATTACTGTTACATTTTTAAAAAATCTGTCAAGTACTGCAGTAATGGAATAAATAAATAAGATTTTTAAAGTTCAGTGTTTATAGACATATGTATAAAATAATGACTGAGTTAGAAGACATTAAATAATGTTGATACACACCAGGAAGGGATTAGGCAAGGAAAGGCACATCATTTCATCACAAGAAATAAAGACCATATTTGGAAGTTAATGACCAGCCAAAGCTTTAGGTCTTGTGGTAGTTTTCATAGCTCCAGGGGGTCATTATGGTGGAACCTTCTTTATGGTACTTAGCTGAAATAAATAGATGGCGGTTGGAGAATTTTACTCTGGGACCCCAATGTGGTGTTAAAAAGAAAGCACTGTTTTAATAAGCCTGGTGTATGAGGAGGGAAGGAACAAAAATCCAAAATGGTTTGGTGATACTGAAAATCCTATTGACATATTAAGGAGAGTTAAAAAAAAAAGTGAAATAAGGTTAATCCTCTTGTCTAGCTGAACTGGAATTCGTGCAGTTACAAAGTTAAAATTCCATGTAAACACTTCCTTTCTTGTAAACAGACACAGTATAGGTAAACAACCGCGACATTTCACCTCAGATGAAGCTATATGCCAATATTTTGGGAAAAAGATCTTAGGTAATTTCCTTATTTTTAGATAGCCTAAGTCCTTGAAAATAGCACTAATACCTCTGGCTGACAGGCTATCTACAACAGCAAAGTGAATAGAAGTTTTGACGATGATAAGAGGTTTCCCAAAGAAACTAGAGTTTCCAGTTAAACACATACAGTTACTACACTGAGAAGTCCAACAGACATCAGAAGAACTTGCTTTGGGTCAACCCCTTACTACCAATTTTCTTTGACAAATTTGTGCCAAGAGTCTACCCATTTTTTTCTGTCTGGACTCTGAACCTAGATTAGTTTGTCTGATAAATGGACTCACTCAGGTTCCATATAAATTTTAGCAGTATTAAGAAACCATCTGTGTGAATAAATAAAATGAATTTTCAGGATGAAATGACACCCACCCACACACCCCCCCCCACACACACACACACCACAAAGTTAAAAACAATTGGGGGGGGGAGATAAGGGAAAATATTAATGTAAAAAAACCATAAAAGTGACAATTGTAAAGCAAGCAGATTCCCACTCATGCCACACGATATGCCTTCATTAAGGTGTACTCTTTCCGGTTGGTATGAGCGGCCCAGATGAAGAGAGCAGAAGCCATGAACTGTAAGGGAGCTGAGACGCAAGCCAGGCAAAAGGACCATCCGAATTTGCCAGACACATTCTCAGGCAGCTCTAATTTCTGGTGGAGTAGTTCAGTTCCAGGAACGTAGAAACTCACCGAGCCCAGGGTACACAGACCCACAAGGAGATGGAGAATGCCTGTGGCAATGGTGGGGGTACAAGCTTCAGCGGATACAAGCACAAAGTCCAGTCAAAGCCTCAGAGCACATCAAACCTAGACTAACAAAAGGTGAAAGGAACTGGCAGCGCCAAAGAGGTCCGAAGAAGATCAATCCCACCGTTCTAGTTTCCAGGATCAACAAATTTCTCCATGAACTGCTCATTTAGCATGAAACTCATGCATTTTGTGACCATATCAAATGACTCTGTCATTTCAGGTGGGCTGTACTAGTATGTATTTTGGGGTATAGTGATACACCGTCTCCACAATCCCACTGTGCCATTATATCGGAAAAGTTCATCATTATGTCTTTTCATCTGCCTCATCACTAGCAAAGTCATTTCAGATGCTTTTGTTCAAATCACTGGAATTTTCTTGAACTGGACTTCGATACTCATACCAGAAGTCTGTGCCAATTGCGGCTGCCGTATAGATGGTAGAAGTGAGGCTAAGCACACAAGCAATTACAAATGCTGTAGCAAAATGGTTATCCATTGTGGCATTCAGACTGCTGGCCCATCCTCCTGCTTCACAAACTTCACCCTCAAGCTCAAACCGCAGCACCCTGCTCTCCCCGTGCCCCCTCTGGCACACTTCCCTGCAGAGCCCACCCCCTGCACTCCAGCACCTCTGCCTTGGCCCTCACCCTGGCTGGGCCTGACCCAGGACTGCCTCCTAAATTTCTTTATTTTATTTTATTTTATTTTATTCTATTCTGTTCTATTTTTTTAAAACATCTTTATTGATGTAAAATTGCTTTACAATGTTGTGTTAGTTTCTGCTGTATAACAAAGTGAATCAGTTATACATATACATATGTCCCCATATCTCTTCCCTCTTGCGACTCCCTCCCTCCCACTCTCCCTATCCCACCCCTCTAGGTGGTCGAAAAGCACTGAGCTGCCTCCCTGAAC